ACACCCCCTGCGGACTACATGTTGCACAGAGATTTCAACCGGGTGCTCCATGCATCCCAAAAGCTCCAAAGTACAGGTCGCTCTCTCGGGGCCTAGCCACCACATGTTAAAGTAACGCGGAACTGGTTTCTCCCGGGCATTCAGAACATCGCAGCTGGACCGACATTCGGCCAGTGACTTCGCACCCGGAATCGTTCGCCTGCATATGCAGTATACAGCGGGTCTCTTGGGGGACTAATGTGTTACACAGGGCTAACTGTGTATATTATGAGGCTTGTCTGGGTTGAGTAACCTCAAGGCATCCATGCTTGTAGTTGATTGGTTTCACACATTTGCTGAGCCTCCCATCACCCGACGTTTGTTATGTCTGTTATTTTTGCGCATTATGTTATAAGAAGGCTATCAGCAATCAGCATCATGGCAGCCTTTCACCAACTATCAAGGCTTTCCGACTGTCGACTGACACAGTGACACACAAGCGCTACTCTGGAGGGACCACCTTCTCCGTCAAGCTTAGCGTCTTCTCGAGCGTCTTTTTTTTTCTCGAATGGATTCGCTAACCCCTATGAAAGATTTACCCTGATATCTCCGTTACAACACTCCAGCTGGGCCGCCTACTACGGCACTCCGACCTCCTGAGCCGCTGGCCGGTCGGCAGCTCGGGCGCTGTCCGTCCGCCGCCCGTTTACGCCCACGTGCCGCCGTGTCCGAGTGAACAGTACACAAACGCTGAGGGCCCGCGGCCGCTGGCATTCGGTGCCGGTGTCAAGGGGACGCCGCCAGTCGATCGACACATTCCTGCCGAATACCGGCCGCCTGTTTACTCTGACCACAGCCGGCACGGTGTCCGACAGGCGGGCTGTCCGAGTCTCAAACACACGGACACACAACGGACACATCAACACAGCGGACACAGCTGACACTCGGTCACGGACACTCGGGACATCAGACAACGGACCAGTGCAGAACAGAGCATTATCAGAGACAGCTGTTTTATTCACTTACTTGCTTGGCTTCAAACAAAGGTGCGTTGTTCGATGGCGACTTCTTTTAAACAATCGCAGTGGAATAAAACCGCCGCCTTCGATGTTTCTGATGAAAAACGCATGAATACGTGACCTCCTCGCTCGCCGAGCATGTTGGCTGTTTCTCGGCTGTGCGTCGCGATCTTTGAAGTCATGCTTGTGATGAAAGCGTCGGCTTTTCATCAAAGCCTCTATATTTGGTTAAGCGGGCTTAACATTAACCAGACCCAGCTGCTGCAATCTGTCTGCAAGATATTACTAACAAGCCAGTCTCACCCAATTTGATGCTTGATATCTGATGACACTTTCAATCACAGATCGTGATAGCCGCGCAGTGGGCCGCACGGGAGTGCGTTTGGGCCGGTCGCTCGTGCCGACTCTTCACGGTCACATGTCAGCCTATCTGAGCCGTTCCGCCCTCGGGCGCCCACACGGAGCGTGCATGTGAACATTGACACGGCTGAGAACGTTCAGATCGTACCGCTCTATGGGGGGTTGTTGCGGATAAGGCAAGCTCATTCACACGGACCATACGCACGAGCACATGCTAGGTGCTGACAAGGTTACCGAGGCCTGCCATAAGTAACAATAATAATAATCTTATTGAGGAAGATCTGAAAGGTAATTTGAGGAACGCACCAAAACAGGGCTCCAGCAGCAATGGGTTGTAGCAGTGAATCTCTGGGAGCGTGATATCGGACTAACTGCAGCAGTGGAGTTTTAACGGCAGAAGTTTCTGAGTGGTCTACAAGTATGCTGGCAGAAGTGGGTCCCTACAGAGGGAATCTGGGTCTCCACGAGCAGTAGGGGTCTCCCCGTGGCATCTGTGGGTCTCTGGCAGCAGCAGAAGCAGGTCCCTAGCAGCGGTAGTATGTCGGCGGCGCCGTGCCGGTGCCGTCGCCCACTATCGCGTCCATCACGGGGTGCGCTGCAATATTTACCACCGGCGTCAGGCCCGGACAGGACGCAGAGCGAGCGCACGATGAATGGTACGGCGTGCCGCCTTTGTGGTCACCGCCGCCCCCGCCCCCGCCCCCGCCACCGCCCCCCGCCCCCGCCCCCGCCGCCGCCCGACCGCAGCACGCGCACAGACACAGCGAACCGCTAAGATACTTAGCGGGCGCAGTCACTGGTGTTTGATGTGCTGGCGTGTGTGATGTTTGACGAGATTTGCACGTATCTTCAGCATCAGTAATCGGGAATGAAAAATTTGTGAGACATCTCAGTCTGACCTGATTTGTTCTGATTTACGCAGTTGAACTATTTTTCCCGACCGGCAGTTTATTCCGTCGGTGCCGATATTGCAGCATATATATTGTTTGGATGGGTTTGGCTGGGCAGACACTAGACAGACTGTAGGTACTAAGTTGACTCAATGCACGGTCACCATTACGAGTAACAGCACCGTCGCCTCCCGTCTCCCAAAGATACTGCTTTGGCGCCCGCCGTCTGCCCGCGACCAGCGCTGGCGCCTGGCGGTCCGGCGGTATACACCCAGCCCGGCAGTGCAGCCCCCGCAGTGCAGGCTGGCGCCCGCGACCCGGCAGTGCAGCTCGATCTCTGTGCAGGCAGCGGCAGCGGTTGTGCGCCACCGCTGCTATAAACAACGGAGAGTTGCCGGACCGTGTCTCCGCGGGGTAAACAGCGCCCAGAGACGGCGGCTCCGGCCCCAGACAGACGCGGCAGTGGCCGGCACCGGCGCGTCGCGTCACCCGATATCAGGGCACACGTCACCGCTCACCACACGTATAGGGTATCTATGAGCGGGAGGCGGGTATTAGTCATTGAACGGGGCACTTAGCTGGACTGGTCATTGAGCAGTTCATTGAGGTGGACTGGTCATTGAGCTCTCCCGTTCAAGACAGCTGATGTCAAGAGACAACTGAAAAGCGGCCTTAGATCTGTCAATGACGATTAGTCAGTGGTAGCATACATCTGCTTAGCATGAAAGGTTATTGCTGCGGTGTGCAGAAGAAGGCATGGCAATGCTCGGGCTTTGCGTCAAAACAGTTGCAATTCGACTTTTGTGCGATGAAATATCGATATCACTCCATGCCTGCATTGATGTAACGCTCTCGATAAAATGGCACTGCTATCTTTATCGTCTCATGTAAATTTTACGATTATTTGTTACGCTCAACAGAAGTTATTCTAAAAAGCCGAAGCATCAAGATAATATTCAAAAGGTTTGTTTCGTGTGCTACGCATGCAAAATGGCTTTGACTTTCATTACTTCTCAGTGCTTTACTGAAAGCACTGCTATGGTGCTCTGCGCTACATCAGTACCTTCCAGTGCAATTTCTCCAGCTAACAAATAAAGTGGTAACAATTACTCGGTTACGACTCCGGGTTTGTCCAGCAGCGGTGTCTGAGTCAGCCTACTACACCGTTACGTATTTGCCGGGCTGGAGAAGTCCAAATAAACACCGGCCCGTACACATATGCACGTGCCATGCATGGGCAACAGACTGTGCTGCTTCCGCCCGGCGGCGCAGTCTGTTCTTGAAACAGGCCGTGGTGCGGCACATCAGTCGACCCGCCCCCGAAGGGTTTTGCAATAGGACTGCTGAGTCAGGCAGGACGGTATGAAACAATGAAAACGCATATTCCTGGGTGAGGTCGGGATTGGTCCTTCTATTGAGTTACGTCAAGTACAAGGGGATGACGACTTACCAGTGCCATTCAATGCATCCACTAGTGAGTTGTCTTCCCCTGGTGCTGGTCTTTGCTAAGCCTGCTCCCGCTGCTGTGTTGGCCCCTATCCACCCTCGGTGCGCTGTACCCGCCAGTGACCCTCCGCTCCGGTGAGGGTCCGGCCGGCCTCTGCACGGTCATAACCGGCGCGTTCCAAGTGCCACTCGGCCGGATATGACCTCCGGATATGGCCCTGGCCGAGCGCCGTGGTCGTGGCTGGGCACGGGGTATCGCGGCGTCTGGCAGGGGCGGTCGCAGTCGTTCAAAGCGGTCAGCGCCTGCCCACAGTGGCCACAGGCTAAGACAACCCATGGCGTCTACATTTGGTCTCAAGTGGTCATAGAGCGACCACTTCACAGTGGTCACATCGTGCCGCCACAGTAGCCACGGATCGTCCTAAGCGGCAGCAGACAGTTCACAACCCGTTCACAGACCATCATCAGCGGTGAAAGACCATTCACAGCGGTCACAGTCTGCCCAGGGAAGTTGTAGAGTGTAGAACAATAGGTGATACGTGCCTTGAAGCACACCCCTTCCTTGGACGACCGCCTCCAGCGCGGCGGGCGCCGGCCGGTCGGACACCTCTTGTCATCGTCTGCAACGAACCAGAGTGGCGGAGATGGGCGGTCCGACTGTAGAAACTTCCCGCCCGAACCGACCTGTCGACCTGTCAGCACCCGCTGTGAGACAGTGACGCGGCCTGCACGGTCGGTGCCGGCCGATGGACAGATGGACAGACGGACGGACGGATGGACGGACGGACGGGCAGACGGTCAGCGGGTGGCGTCTACTTCACAGGAGCGTGCCGCTCGACCGCCCTGTTACTTCTTTCACATATCGAACAGCATAGCTGTCGCTGCTGATGTGTATTTGAGTTGCAGTGCTTAGAGAAAACAAGATGCTCAATACATGCGATTTTTCTGTGACCTTGAGGCGTAATGCTCAATTCTATAGACGGCCGTCAACTTATTTCACCGCACTACCGTTGTGTTTACTTATGTTCTCATACATATCCTAAATTCTCTCATCAGCAAGATCGGTATCCTTGCCTGGGACTGACATGGAAGTTAACAGACATGTGTTGCCTGAATAAATAACCATGCATTAATCTGCGCAGCCGTGTACTGGATTTCTACGATGTAGCTCTTGTAATTCAAACACAGGAAATCCCAGAATGAGTGCGCACATTATTGTCCCGTTTCTGGTACATCGTGTCCCCTCTGCCTTCCGCCAGGCTTCTAATGCCAGACCCGCTGACGTTTCGTTCTCTCTTTGTTCCAGACCCGAACATCCAGCAGTACGGCGAGGTGAACCAGCTGGGCGGCATGTTCGTCAACGGCCGGCCGCTGCCGAATCACATCCGCCTGCGGATCATCGAGCTGGCCCAGCTCGGCATCCGTCCGTGCGACATCTCCCGCCAGCTACGCGTCAGCCACGGCTGCGTCTCAAAGATCCTGGCGCGCTACAACGAGACGGGCAGCATCCTGCCAGGAGCCATCGGTGGCAGCAAGCCGCGCGTCACCACCCCCAAGGTGACGGCCTACATCAAAGAGCTGAAGCAGAAGGACCCGGGGATGTTTGCGTGGGAGATTCGCGATCACCTCCTTCAAGACGGCATCTGTGACAAGTTCAACCTGCCCTCCGTCTCATCCATCTCTCGTATCCTCCGGAACAAGATCGGCACACTGCAGCACCTGCAGGGCGCTACGCACTACGACCTGAAGCCGCACCAGTCACCTGTATATCCCTCCGTCGCGGCCATGTACCCGCACTACCCGTACCAGGCGCACGCTGCCGCAGCCGCCGCCGCCGCTGCACCAGCACCGGTCTCTCCGATGCCGCCCAAGAGCGGCTCTGGGTCGCCAGGCATGCCGTCGCGCACGCCCTGGCCCAGCGCTCACTCGGTGTCCGATGCTGGGTCACTGGGGTCAGATGCGCGGCCACGGTGGACCGCCGGCCACATCGCACGACGCGCAGAACTACAACTACTTCATGTACCTTCAGTCGTGCAACGCGCCGACGGCCGCGTCGGGAGCGTTCAGCGGCGCGCTCGGCGGCGGCTCGGCGTTCGGTGGAGGTCTGATGATGGGAGGACCGGGCCAGCACACCCAGCAGACCTCCTCACTATAGCGGGCCGACCTCCGAGGGGCGCCGGCCGCTCCCGTCGGCCGACCGCGCCGCGGCGCCGCCGCAGCGCGCGATCGGCGCCTTAGTGCAGTGATTGATGTGTAAATACCGGCAGAACATGGCGGGGCGGCGCGAGCCTGGCTGCACACAGCCCTGCCACTCACCGGGCGCGGCGCGGCTGTGGGCCCAGCTGGGTTGATACCCGTCTGCAGAGCCCACGAACTCCTCTCGGGCAGATCCCGGTGGCTCGTCTCCACCGTGTCTGACCGTGACAGCGCGGCTGATCGGCTCGGCACGGCCGCGCAGATCGGGAATACCGGCTAACCGAGCGTGGAATGGGCTGCCGCTCGCGCCGATAGTGCCGCTCGCCGCTCGGCCCGCTATCTGACAGATAGCGACGCTGAGAGGCCCCGCGTGCCGACGAGACCGGGACGAGTCTCCCCCGATGGACGATGTCATTGAGAGGAGTGTATGTCGAGACCGACGGCTGAGTCGCAGTGCTCACCCGACCCCTGTAAGTTATTTGGGTTTATTGCCGAACACTGCATTGTGATGTACAGCGAGTGAAATAGTAGATAGCAAAGTGATATAAATATCACATCTTGCCACTTAGAGAAAGATGATGCATCCACAATTACATTCGTGGAGATAACTTACCAAAAGCAGTGTCTGCTCAAGAAAATACTTGTTAACGAAAAATATATTAAATTTGTAGTGTTCAGCGTTTAATTGCATGTGCTTAGTAATTGTGCAGCCTATTATGACTTCCGAGATGCTGTGTTTAAAAATCAGATGGCCAAGAGTCGGCAAACGAGACAGTGCCCACCATTGCCGCTCAGAGGGAATAGGAGAGGTGTGAGAGGGGATATCGATAAAGATATGCTGTTACTGTTCGAAGACTGTAGGTATTTTGCGTCGGCGGATAGCCCTAGGCAAGACGAATCTCAAGTGCCGCTTGTACAAAGATCGGCATGTATACGCGGCCGTTGTTTTGCTGTGAATAGTGGTGCGCTGCATGTGTGCGTTGGAGGTCTGTTGGGACTGGTTCTGTGTGGTGTGTCGCTTCACCAGGCCGGTGTGTGGCCTAGGTGATCGGGTGATAGGTGATGAACCAGTGTGCTGGTGTGTCACCTGCTTTTGCTGCTGTCAATGCTGCTGCTGCTGCTGCTGTTGAATACATTGCATAGATATGTAGGCGAACCAGTGAGTTTGAAGAGCGAGACTGAAAGGGGAGGGCAGCAAGAGTGAGGAGATACGAGCCTTGTGTCACTCAGCTACCGATGTACGTGTTCTTTTTTTCCATGGTTGGATCTAACTGTACAGTCACACTTCGGTGCAAACACTAAAAACAGAAACCTACATTTATAAACCTTTGATTTATGAAGGGACAGCTCTGTCACGACTACGACCGTTCCCAGAGCTGGGCAAGTAAGGGTGAGCCGACTCGAGCTAGACCTGACCAAAATCGATGCACAAGAAAAGAGTTTGAATTAGTCAGTTTTTGGTAACGACAGAGCCATATCATCCACTGCCAGCGCAATGCTTAGATTGCTTCCAAAGCCCGTATAGTATGGTACGTAGGGGGGGGGGGGTCCGTTGGAACGGATCCCCTTGCCGTTTCGCCCCTGATCGAGCTAGAGCTTCGCGGAAAAAAACGAACGTGTTGCCCGTGACGGGAGGAAGCCGATGATATCCAATTTTAAGGTCCCAGGTCATCGGTTGACCTTGCAGGTCATGTCAATGACCCAAAAGTCGGGAAAATCGGGACCTGTTAGAACGTCGTAAAGTCTGGCTGCTATGGGATTTTTCGGGGTGCTGATCACGAATATCATAAAAGTTTTGATCACAGATGATGTCTTCATGCATTTAGTCCAGGTCGGGTCAGGCCAGGTAAGGTCAAACAGTAGGGGTCCTGCCGGGTATTCCTAGTAGGTGTCAACCGCCTCCGACAGCTTCGTAACATGCTACGAAGGCACCAAAACTACTTCGTAAATGTTCATATGGTTGCTTAATCCGAATTCAGCTAAAAAAACTGGCCTAGAAACATGTAAAACTCGAAAAAGTGAACCGAGGTCATCAAAGGTCAATGACCTGACCTGACCTTCAGGTGACCTTGACACCCACCCTAATGCATGGGGGCAACATCATATCACATGTTTGAACGCTTGAAACCACGAAAAGACTGCAAACGCGCGGCTAATGCGAGCCGACATACGCCGAATCGCGATTCCGGCCAAACATGGTCTCAAAAAGTAGGTCATAGGTCAAAGGTCATTTGGGTCAGGGCCATGAAATTTGCAGGGTAGGTGTAAAATTGATAAACGCGAGGGCACTGAAAGTTTCATCGCGATCGGCAGCTTTTTACGCGAGTTATTCGCGAAATACTATGGGGGGGGGTCCGTTCGACCCCCCCCCCTATACGGGCGAGGGTTAATCCGCGCCGCAACGGTTCTTAGCGCCAACCGCACCGGCCCGGAAGTGTCTTAACACCCCCGTCTAACTCGGCTCCTGGGCCACGCAGCCACACGCGGTAAGCGGCATTCGTAAAAGCGTAAAAAAAAAAATAATGACGGAAATACTTCAGTCATTTTTCAGGTCAGGTCAAAGTTCAGGTCACCAGAGGTCATAGAAGGTTAAATTTGGTCTATTTCCCTATTTTTCGAAAACCCAATGCCTAAGTGGGGAACCAATAGATTTCCATCGCCGCAGAAAAGCGCATTCGATAACCCGCGCCTCGTGGGGGGGGGGGGGCGAAACGGCCTCCCCTGTCCTTTTCCGTCGATATCTCCTAAACGGCTGGAGATATCGCCACCAAACTTTCAGGACCCCTCCAGACATCAATTTTACACATTGTGACCAAACATTTTTCCAGAGGCAATGATAGGTTGGCCACAAATGACGTCAGAATGACGTCATGTTCTGCCATTTTCGACCGAAAAAAGACCTTCGCAATAAGAGCTCTCCGGCCTACAGCTTTGAAGCCACAGAAAAATGATCGGGACATAAAAGGTGTAGAATTGACAGAGATACAAAATTGCTCCCTCGGATTTTTGAAATTTTAACCCGCGCCCCACTGGGGGGGGCTATTTATAGCCCCCCCTCCCGTTTTTCTGCAATAACTTCCAAACCGTTTGACGTATCGACGCCAAACTTTCAGTACCTTCGGCTGCATCAATTTGACACCTTGTGTCAAAATTTGAACTTCGTACCTACCATAGGTCGGCCGGAAATGACGTCAGAGTGACGTCATGTTCGGCCGATTTCGACGCAAAACATTGAACCACGGCAATCGCTCCCAAGAGCTCAGTTTTTAAGCTAGATCCAATTTCTTTGCATGAGAGGACTCAGAATAGACTGCGCTATCAAACTGCTATCTCAGATTTTCGAAATTTTGAAAATTTCGAAAATTTTATATAATAATATTCAAAATTTATATTTTTACATTTTTTTTCAAAAACGTTTTGACTTTTCGAAAAAACCGGAATATATGTGATAGAATGCATTATTATGACTAACTCTAGCAAGTTTTAGCCAAATATCTTCAAAAATGACCAAGTTATACGCATTATTGCAAAAAATTAACAATTATTAATTTTTCAAATCAATTTTTCAGCACGAATTCGACGTCGTACGCCAATATAAATAGCACCATCGTGTTCCTGAGCTCAAACTGCATCCAATAGACACCTTTTTTGTTGAAAAATTTCAACTTCAAAATTTGACCTTTTTTGACCTGAAAGTGACCTGACCTAAGCTCAATTTGACTCAAAATGACCTCGAATGACACAGACGACATCAAATTCGAAATGTTTGGCCTAAATTGAATGGACAGCCATTTTATGCAAAATATCAATTTTGAAATTTGACCTAATTTGACCTGACCTTTTTTAATTTTTTTTTTGTCCGAATGGATGAATGGGTGGCTATGGGCCCGGGTGCCCCGCTAAGCTGTGCTTGTTGCGAATGACACCACGGACCCACCACCCCACCTTGCCCGCGCCCGGTTCACCGGTGATAATTTGGATCGAAAGTTTAACGTGCCGCAGGTAGATGGCGGCACGGTCCTCCCGGGTCTAGCGTGGCCCTCTCTCGCCAGTTGCCAGCTGGCTTAATATAGGAACGCGGGTCAAACGACGTGGAGCTTCCCGGCCGCGAACTCGCTGCCACCGAGTTAGGAGACGGACGCCTTATCCACTAGGCCACGGGGAGGACCTGGACCTGACCTTCACCAAAACGTGACCTAAGCTGGCCCTAAAGGCTGCCTGAGCCACATAATCGCATTTATCATGTAAAATAGACCATAAAACATGTATCACACGACACTTTCATATTGTGACCCCCAGTGACATGACCTCTGTGATCTGACCTGGTGTCAGTGACCTCAAATAGCGAAGTATGTGTTTGACGAACAATGTACCATCGATGGTTTTCAATAACTTACCAATTTACTGGATTTCACAACACATTTCTTGAAATGCCTGTGAACGGTGAAAATCTGAACTTTAACCTGACCTGTAACGTCATCGGTTTGACCTAGGTCAATGAAATTCGGTCATAAGGTAGTTCCCCGACGGGGCTATCAAATGCCGTTTGAATTTTGAAAATCGGCCGGTAAATTTCCGAGATCTTAGGGAGGCCGAAACGCCCCCCCCCCCCTACCCATCACGAGACGGAAAACTCAGACCATCAGCACGGCGGAGGTTGAAATAATGGTTATCCGACCCTTTTCAATCTGACCTTTTTCACCTTTTCACTGTTCGATTGAACCTCTCTTCTCTACCATACCTAATCTATCAGACACCTATCTAGCTGAGTGAGACATTTTAGACAGTTCCCGTCCGAAAAGGACCCCGTCTGATCGAGCGCTTCCAGTCTGGATCATGTCTGTTAGGATTACATACCTACGCCTGTTAGAGTCATTGTAGCATGTCTTTGCTCACTTCTTGTGACCGAGTTCACAAAGGAAGCCTTTGGGCTTCTTTTGTGATTAATTAAATGACGCTACCGGGTCATTATACAGCACAACACTTTACACCTGCTATATTTGAAAAAAAGTAAAAATATGTCACAAAATGGAATTACTATTCACAAAATAATAACAACGTTTTTATCATAGTTCTATAAGAGTGCATTTTAGTTGATCCCACATGTAGACAAGGATGTATTTCCTCCAGTAATGTCAAAAACGTCTCCTCCGAGGTGATGTATCAGTGCTTACATTATAAGCATCCGCCTCCAGGCTGTCTAAACTTTCTACAGAAGTAAGCTGGAGCGAAATGCGAGTCACGCGCAATGTCCACGCAAATGACCACTGCTAAGCAAAC